TTTTACAAAAAAAAAAAAAAAAGAACCCCTATTTCAGCTCTAGTTCTTGCATTTCCTTCTGTGTTTCACTAAGAAAAGAGTGCTGGATGCTTTTCCATTCTCAAAGTAACTTGATAGAAGATATTTTTGTTGTAGCCTTATAGCCTGTGTATCTTTTTTGCTCCCTGTCTGAGATATATGCTTAGTGCGTTAAATTTATTTCCTTGGAACATCCTTTTTTTTATAGGGCTTTCTTGATTTACGACTAAAACCGTGGCTTCGAAACTTTCTTACTCGATGCTTGGCAATTGTCCCTAGTTTAATTGTTGCTATCATTGGTGGCTCTGCTGGGGCTGGAAAGCTAATTATCATTGCATCGGTATGCTATACTTGCCTGTAATTTTCAATTTTTTTGTGCATGTCTAAATACTATCAATCTTTGGAATATATTGAGATTTCTATGTGTAATTATAGTTAACTAGCTTAAGAGGGTTCTTTTAATAATTACTCTGAGCTTCCTTAATGTATTACCCCAACAAAGGATAAAAGACTGCGATTCATTGGTTCTCTGGTATAGATGAGGTAGCTCCTTGTATGACTGCTGTTTCCTTAATTACATTACTTGCTTGTTGGGCAGTGGCAATGTGCCATGGCGATTTTCTTCAGACCTTGATCTTCTATCTGATTGTCATGTTTCTAGCAGTGGTTTCTGAATATTAGAGAACGGATAAAGTAGCCACCTAATTTAAATCTGGCTTTGATTTTACCTTTTTGTGTTTAACTCTTTCATTATGATTCCATATTGGAGAAGAAAAGAAGTGTTGTTTGTCTTGTCATGTGACGATAGTAATTTGGCTGCATCAAATAGAAGTATTTGGTTTACCTCAAAGACAACTTTATCTTGCCTTTGGATGGATAAAGGGGTTGTGTTGCGTGAATAATAAAATTAGAATAGTTGATCCTACAATAAAAGGCAATCTGAGTATATAGTAGAGAATGCATCTGAATAACTTTTGAGGCACTCACTTTCCTTTCGACTATGGAAAATGGCAGGAAGTTGCATCATTTTATCATTAGAATTGTCACAGTTATGGCAAAAAAGAATCATGATTTTTCTTTGCGTCATCCTCAAGTTGCTTATACCTTGATATTGCGTTCGCAGATGATTTTATCATTTGAGCTGCCTTTTGCTCTCATTCCACTTCTCAAGTTCACCAGCAGTGAGACCAAGATGGGGGAACATGCCAACTCAACTGCGGTAACACTAGTTTTTCTTTCCTGATTTAAGGCTAAAGTGCTATCTAGTTACAAATTTTATAGAAGTATTATCACTGACCTTGTCAGGATGTTGCTCAACTAAACAATTGTTATCATTAAAATTATCTGGCTGAGAGCTTCAATAATCATAAAGTTATACCTGAGTTTGTTTAAGCTCCACTGATTGGTACCTGAGTGATAATACTTATCAAAGAATTACTTATATGGTAAGTTCTCTGCAGGTTTCAGCTATAACATGGATCATTGGTTCCCTGATCATGGGTATAAACATATACTATCTTATGACGAGTTTCATCCGCTTCCTTCTTCACAGTCACTGGAAACTTATTGCTGTGGTGTTTTTGGGAATATTTGGATTTGTGGGTGTGGCAATTTATTTGGCTGCAATTGCTTACCTGGTCTTCCGGCCTAATAAAAAGGTGACGCACCTTCTGGCGTTAACTACACCTGCTAGTCAACACATGGGCAACGGCTCTGGCAGAACCTCAATAGACTGCCTTCCTAGAGAAGACATAGTAAGCATGCAGTTGCCTCAAAGAGGGCAGCAGACGGAGGACATTGGCTGATCGACATAGTGCAGTGAATGTTACATTAGGGAAGACAGTGAATGTTGCTTTTGGGTAGTAGAATTTTGTTAGCTTTAAAGTGATTTTAGTTTTGAAATGACAAAACCCATAATCAAAATTGCTTGAACAAGTTTTGAGCTTAACTTCATCGTATACAAAATCCCTTAAGTAATTGATTTTGAAATGTCTCTGAGTTCTATGTGAAAATGGATTCAAAATGAAGTATTCTTTAAGAAGAAGGCTACAGGAATCGATTCTAGGATTTGAGGGATTGATCAACTTGGTCCCTAGCTAGAGATCGATCCCACCCAATCGATTCTACATGCCATACGACTTCATTCTTCCAAGCATTCAAGTTTCCTAGTGTTAGTAACTCTATTTGAGCTTTCATTCCTACTCTTTTGTATTCATGCTTGATATTATCATCTCCTCGATACTTGTACTCACTAAACAATATCCACTTACTAGAGTTATCCTTGCTCGTACAACTCACTGTAAAACGCTCAAACCTTGAAAAAGAGGAGAGGTTCTACTTTAGCTTTCAAAAGGTGTGGTGATTACAGAGTCTATCTTAGCTTAAGGTAGTGAGTAGAGAATCTATCTTGGTCTTGAAAAGACAAGAAGGTTCTATCTTAATTTTTAAAAGTTGAAGATATTATACTTTAGCCTTGAAAATATATTTGTGTTGATATTAATAGTGGATTCAACTCCTAAACAAGTTAAGGGAGAGGACTTAAGTACTAAGAGAAAGGGTCGAACCTTTATAAATCGGTTTTGCGGTTCTTTTTACTTTGAACTATTTATCTTAGTTGCATTTGCTTTTAATTACTTATTCATCCAATTTTTATCAATTTGCTTTTGGCATATCCTCATTGAAAATGTAATTGGTGGGAAGATTTTTGCAAATCTAATTTCATTGAAAATCCAAGGCATAATGCTCAAAAAAACATCTGAATTATTCAAAAATATTCAAATAAGTTCTTATTCTTTTATAGTATTCAATCAAGTCTTTATACTTTTATTTTGGATTAAACAAGCACTTATGATTAATAATTGACTAATTTCTATAAGTCAAAATATATTTTTTTATCTTTTTGTATCTACATAGTACGGATATAACTTTAATGTGAAAGGTGAAAAATATTATATGATCATATTATCATATAAAATTAATATATTACATCATCATCAGTTATGATATGTCATCATGTCATATTATTATCAATTATGATATGTTAGCATATTATGTTAGTGCCATGTGATATAGAATAACAAATGAAATTTTGACTAAATCAATAATTAGTTATAAACACTTATTTTGATTTAAAATAAAAATATAAGGGCTTATTTAGTTTAAAATAAAAATATAAGAGCTTGATTGAATACAATAAACGTATAAGAGCTTATATGAATTTTTTTGAATAGTTTCAGAGCTTCTTTAAATATTATGCTAAAATCTAATTTGCGTTAAGATTTTTGAGAATTTAGTTCTATTCTCTCTTGGAGTACTTACTATATATGAGCTAACAAGTTTCATAGTGCTCATTTTGATAGTGCAAATGGGGTTTATTAAGAATTTAAAGAGAATAAATAAAATTGATATCTAGATGTGATGCTATTTTAAGATTTATTTCGTCTCCACCACTTGATATGTAAAAAAAGAATTATGTTTTTAAATATAATGAAAAGATTTAATTTTATCTTACACTTACGAGATTAGACTGCTAAACACACTTGAGGATTGTAAAGTTGTTTGACTTTAACATTTACTTTCTGTAGTAAATAGATTATAAGAAATATAGGCATTTTTTATAAACGTGAGAATTCAAAGGTTTTATTTTTAGTTTTTGAATTTTTATTGAAAACATATAACTTTTGTTACCATTAATTTTCCTTTTTTCCTCTTATTTTTCTGCTCTTGTATTACTTTTTGTTATGTGTTAAAATGGTTCTCAGTAAGTATTTTTATATAGACTTGCCAGTATCTCATTTTAAAGATACAATCATTTCATTAAAGCACATTTATGTTTTAAACACACTTTTACATATTACATGATATAATCTTTAGATAAAAGTATTATTTTAATAATTATCTTATGAAAAGATAACTATTTATACTTTAAAACCACAATATAACAAGATAACTTTTTATATCATAATTTTTAAGTTGTGATATTTTTTAATTATCTTATAACTTTTAAATTTAAAAATATTTTTTTAAATATTATTTTATAAAAAAAATAATATTTTATATAAAAAATCACCGACAATCCAATTGTTTGTGACATAACTTAACGTGTCTATCCAATAATCCCAACTTTTCGTATAAAAAATGTTATCTTTTATTTTAAAAATATATCAACAAATCTTTCTTAACTTTATAGTCTTTACGCTTAACTTCAAACCCACCCTTTATAGGCGTTGTTCATTAAAACAAAAAACAAGTCCCTCGCCAAATCTAATGTGGCTCCCTATTTCGTGCAATGTTTATACATGGACCTAGGCTGCATCATGTTTTGTCTGGCTAAGTTCTCCCCCATTCTTCAAGGGTATGACGAAAAAGGTTGAAAGGCAGGCAGGGTGCTGAAGATTAAAGGAAGTCGAAGGATAAGGGCAATAATGCACAATGATAGTTTTCATGAGAAAAGTGTCCACTTCTTTATTCGTCATATTTTAATTGTATGGCCTATCTATCAATCTCCCTAAAACCTGCCCCCAATGATGTTAGGCCACTTGCATGCACTCTCAAGTAATAGTGCTGTGTGTGGGACTTGAGTGAGCTCAACTCAAGATTGGTCACACTCTCTTGTTGTACCCCACGGTTGAAAAGTGTGATGAAGATTCAAATTTCACCAGTAAACTCTACATATTTATTAATTTCTTAGTTTATTCCCCTCTACCATAGCCGTAAGATGTGTCCCCCAATCAAATCTCCTTAATTTGAGGTCTCCACTGCTCTGCTACAATAACCCCGGACAGGTCATTTCACTCCAAATCTTATTAATGTACTTCGTAAAGATTTTCATTTGTAACTTACTGCATTGACAAATTTAGTGATATTCATAAAAAAAATACAAATAATTTATCTTCCAAACATCATATTTTAATAATATTCATTGAATTACATTATCAATTAGAAGATAATAAAATGTTCGAGAGAGTAATATTTTTGGTTCAACACTAGCTATAATAAGCAATCAAAGCACAAAAAGGTTACAACATACTTTGCCAATTTTTTTCTCTTTAAAATATTAATGCTGGCACGCTTCTAGCCCTCCAGAGGGGGGTGGTGTGTTTTGTTTCCTGTGTCCATATCAAAAGTGGCTAGGTAGCCACAAATATACTCGAGAGAAAACCCTAAGAGTGAATCCGGAGTGAATCTTCTTGCTGTGCTGGTACAGGAAGGTGACCCTTCTCTTGCAAGCTCTTGACTGTTTCATATAAGCATTGCTTCACCGGGGTGAACTCCAACCCCAAATCCTTGAGCTTTTGGTTTGAGAACTTGTAGGGTTTAGCTCTTGGGTTCCTCTCGTCTGAGCACCTGCAATTATTAATTACACACATAATTTCAGCATCTTAGTTCCATAATTGGGATGAAAATATACATTAAATAATGCAAGGTACTTCCGTGAATACATTAAAGAAACTTGTTCCGAATGTCAGGATATATTGTTTTGGTTGCTAGGAATCACGTGTTGTTCAGCTACCCTTCCGTTACTCTCATTCAAAGACAAACGCCTAAAGCTACTTGGAGGGTATGCATGAAATTCTCAAAAGAAAATTCCGTACAGGAGAGGTGGGGTGGGGGACCCAAATTTTTGTCCTAGCTGCAGCCCCAGAGTTCATCGGATATTCAAAGATGAAACCTTCACTTCTCCTGAAGGGAGAAAGCTCCATGATTGAACCTCAGTAGGTGAATAGAACAGGATATATCCTTTAATTCAAGTCTTGAGAATTTGACAAAGACATTGGGGTAGGTGAAGATCCTTGTGCACCATTATTTATTCATCACTCGATCCAAAACAATCCACTTAATCTTGTAGGAAGTAGTAGGTAAGATTATGTCATTCGTCAAAGCTGGTGCACCGACTGCCCCACCTCCCTGAACCAAGATAGCGAAAGACCGCCGGTGTCCATGCTTATCTTCCGTCCTCTATAATCTTAATCCCCCTTGCTTTTTCAATGCCTTGTGCATCTCATTCACCTTTTCATAGAAACTGATGATGTCACGAGTGATGAGAAAAATACCGCTATTATCATGTCTTTTTTTTTTTTAATTCATAATTTCTCTCATCAAGTTTGACCACATGGTGCCTTCGAAAAAGTAATCTTGATTCATAATGATACCACCAAATGTGAAAATGAAAGGAAATTCAGCATGAAATCATCATGGGTTTTTATTCATGATAAATGAACTATTTCCTATTGTCCAAGTTCTTCGGGAAATCCTATTGAATCTTCAACAACTTCAGAAAGAACTGCCACCAAAGCTAACCCTGGACGTAAAATCTTCTCATTTCCTTCCCATTTTTCTGTGGACTAGATTATTCTTAATTGAGGGCCTCAATTTCTTCATGTCACTGTCCTCCAACAACAAGGTTATCGTTTAGAAGTCAACAGGGGATTATCTTTAAGCCCTCAGTTGAAGTGTAGGTTGGTTAATATTGAATGAGATTGTTATCTAATCTAATTTTTGAATCGAAGACTAGGTGTCACTCCTACGACAAGAAACGTGTGCCATTAATTCTCCTAAACGCTACAGGAAAATTAGAATTGTGGTCAAGGACAAGTAGGATACATAGCATTTAGGCTAAAGAAGGTGGAACTACACGAGGTGTTCCACCTAGATAGTTATAGATGTTGATTAGCGCAATTGGGCACAAACTAACTCATGGATTCCACCTATTCTTTCATCCTTATGTAAGCATACAAAATCTTTGATAAATGCTGATTGTCTCATTTTTTATGTTTCAATGCCGGTAATGATAATAATAACATATCAATGCTGTTAAAGTTTGTTATGATTTCCATCCTGTTTGCCAATTGAAGAGAAAACTGGCCCCATTTACCAAGCGCACTACAGAATTACCTTTTTTTTTTTTGTTTTGAAAAGTGTTTGTTTTATTGATTGCCCAACAGCTAGTATGCTCTCCAGAGTCTTTAAACTAACACCGCAGAATTACTAATTGCTACGTTCTTAAGCAATTTCAAAAGTTCATTCTCATGGGAGGTATTGACAGTAAGAAACTTACTTGGTAGGGATGGGATACTCAGGGAAGAACTTGGCCAGAATCTCCACCACCTCTCCGCGGTGGAGGACGCTCTCGGCGCAGAGGTATCGGCCGGAGGCAGACGGATTCTCAAAGACCATAATGTGTGCCAATGCAACATCTCTCACGTGAACATAGGCTTGAACTGAATTGGCATAGGTCTTTGCTGAGCCGGTTAAGTACTTGAGGATGTGAATAATGCTAGCATTTACAGTTGATTGCAGCAATGGACCTAGCACCAAAACTGGGGTAATCACCACAAGGTCTACCCCCTTTTCCTTGGCCGTTTCCCATGCTGCCTGCTCTGCCACAGCCTTCCCGTAACAGTACCAGTTCTGCAATTTTGTAGGATATTTGAATCAATCGTCAAATCTAGTTACCCATGTCTTACCATACTTCACATTCTTGGGTGACAGGAGACTGAATTATTTGAATTAATCCAGGCAATATGAGAAAGAAAATTTTAATGACTTGCTATAGAAAATTTTGTATGCTTCCATCTCCATTACCGTTCAATCGAAGGACAATGGTGCCTATCCATTTAGGTTCTCCTTTTGAATTGGGGGATTTCTATAATGGTGGCTATCCTACGTTAGCAAACACCGATTATATATTCTTCTACAGAATTTACCAAATAAGTATAATGTCCGGAGATTTTACCAAAGCAGGGAATTTCAGGGCCTTCTGACATTTAAAAGATGCATTAATCCAGGATACAGGCCACACCAGAACAGACCCAGTTTGGTTTCCTTGCTTAACCGAGCAGGAAACTTCCCAGTCAGGCACCAGGTCACTTGAACTTTACATTTCCTTTTGTTTAATATTCCTAATCATTTGTCTTACGACCCCACCCGACTTTGACCTGTGTTCTCCGAATTAGAAGGATCCTGGTAATCTGAATCGGTTCAAATAGATATACAATAACTATATACTTTGTGAAGTTCGATTAATGCTACCTTGGTGTTCTTGCAGAACTCGAGATCGCTCCAGCAAGACTCATCAACCACAACATCAGGACTCCTATTGGGGTCCATGTACACTGCGCCAATGGAGGATGTGAACACCACTCGTCGAACCTTGGCCTCAGCCGCGGCCATTATCACATTCTTAGTCCCATTCACGGCCGGCTCCACCATTTGTTCCTTTAATTTAACCAAAAAATCCCAACCACGATCATCAGTATCTCATAATCTTCCAAAAAAAAAAAACTTTTTATTAGTGTAGCCTTTATTACTAAATTTTAATAAATTAAAAGAAATTTTACTCCATACATACATGCCACCTAACATTTAATATTTAATATTGGGTAGGTTCATTGGATAAGTTTGGTGCAATCCATCGTCATCATAAAAATCGTATAAACTTGTGAATTCCATATATGTCACCCAACTGGAATTTCATTTCTGACTGAAAATTAAGGTAAACAGAATCAGAAGGATATTTGACAAATTGACATTATCAAAGTAACAGGAAATAACAAGAGTCGGACAGGAAAATAAGCTGAGCAGTTTTCTGAATTTTGTTAAACATGAATCTGTAAAGACAAGGAAAATGATAATGTCTGGTTTTGTCCATCTATTGGTACGGTGGCCCACTGTTAAAGCTATTGGATTGTCAACAAGACCCACCATGACAAAGAATTGTTGGTTAAACAGCATATTGCGAAAACACATTTCAACTTGGTCGTTGTTGAGGTGTGTCTTTCAACTTTTTGGACAAAGGAAGTAAAGTTGATTCATCTTTTTGTTTTCTCTCCAAACTTTCTCTAGAACCAATCAGAATATTACTCGAGTACTGCAAAGAAAGCAAAAAACACATGAACAACTCACGGGGTCGTCAGTCACGGGTGAAGCTGTGTGGAAAACTCCATCACACCCATTAATGGCTTCCTTTAGAGACTCATAATCAAGAAGATCAGCTTTGTGAAGAGTTAGCCTCTCCTTTGCTCCTTCAAGCTCTCTCAAATGAGCATTCTTGGGATCATCTAAACAAAAACCCAACGTCCAATTAATGTCACAAAACCATTTAACATTAACAAATGACAAGGATTCTCCCTCTTTGCATGCAAAAAACAAGGGGAAACCAACCTGGGTTCCTTACAGTGCCTTTGACAGTGTAACCTTTTTCAAGAAGAAGCTTGACAATCCAGGAAGCGATGAAGCCACCAGCACCGGTGACACAGACTGTTTGGCTAGAAGGGGAAGAGCTGTCAACTGGCATGTTTGGTTTTATGTGAAAAGATTTGTGAACGTGGTCTTCTTTTTTCTCTTCGGTGCTTTGTTTTGTATTGTAGGGATGGCAATGTATTTATAGGGCAGAAACCATGATTACCTTGCTCACCTACCACAGGTAAATTAAATATTAGAGGAGAAGGTACACTGTGGAACACCATTTTACTTTCCATCTTTGTACAAAAAATTAAAAAACTAAGGACGTGACTCAACAGGTCTTGGTTTATTATTAATATTTTTCTTTACTTTTTTCAAAGTAATACTGTGTATTTTGCTTTTGGTAAGCTATCAGTATTAATATATTACCATTTCTCTTTTTCTTCTATTCAAATATTTTTTTGGAAAAGGAGTTGGAAAATTAGATGGATTAGGTTTGATTGGTTTCAAAGAAATCAATGGCCCACATGCTTTGGTCGGACTATTTCACAATTTTCCTTTTGAACTTTCTATTACTATTTCTTTTTATTTTTATTTATTTCACAAATGTAGAGCAATATGATTCAAATTTGGGTAACAATTAAGCTTCCAAAATTCGAATGTTAACAATAGCCAATATATAACTCAACTCTAATTGTGGGATAAAAGGAAGTATTAAAATTTGTATTATTTTCATATAATAGAGAAAAATGATGATGCAACCGATGATGAAGAAGTGGTCGTGTAAGAGACAAATAGGATGAACACCCAAAGCTTAATTAGCATCTTAACAAATATGACACTGGAGAGAGATTCCATAGGTATCCCTGGTGAGAGGGCTTTACATGACAGAAATTTGAGCCATAAACGTTCATGTTATTCATAACATGCGCCTAACATTTAGACTTTTTGTTGACAATTCTCAACTTAACAAAGACTTCAATTTGCTTGGGTGGTGCAGACATCATGAAGTCGTAGGTACAAACACAAAAGATGATTTTGGATTAATATTAAGACTCAATCATTTAAAATATTATTCAAACTATAACTCTAATTGAAATATTTCATATATGTTTTTTAATAATAGTGTTGAGTTGTTTCCAAGCAATGGTGATCTAGGGTTTTGTATGAGGGGTGGTTAAAAAGTAATCATACAAAGTCATTGATCAAATCAATGATTTGTTTCGAAGTAAAAATTAAAAACTCAGTAGTAACAACCACTATCTCATCGCCATCTTCGGTATCCTTTTTGTTTATTGATTTTTCATTATCACTTTAAGAAATTATTGTGTATAGGTATTTTGTACCGCATAATAGTAGGCTAAACAAATCATTATGTTAAATATATATGAACTCAATTATGATTAGACGTATTTATGAGTTGGGTCAAGTTGAGTTTAATGAGTCTTTCATTTTAAAATTAAATTTGAGTTTAGTCAGATCTAGTGGCGGAGGCCAAAGGGTGGCTGCCACTACCCTTTAGTTTTTAATTTTTTTTATTTTTATGGGTATAAAATTATAAATATATAAGTTTGCTACCCCTATTTTAATTAACTGAATTGGTTTTGTATAGTGGTAAATTATCTAATTTAAAATTAGGAGGCCTAGCTTCAATCCCTTTTAAGCTCAAATTTTGAAATTATTTTTACCTTTTTTTCTTTTTTTCCCAAAATTTGGAATTATTTTTCCTTTTCTTTCTCAAATTTTGAAATTATTTTTCTTTTCCATTTCTAAGCATTACTAAACTGCCTAAATAATATAATTGCCTCAAATTTTGGAACCCACCAATACCTTTTATACCAATTTCTATATACTCCTCAAAATATAGTCAACCGATCCTACCAATAGCCCCTTTTGACACAAGAGCAACAGAAACAGTGATAAACCTGAAAATATTACTCCCAGAATACTAGATGCTTTATGAAAGGCATTTCAAAACTCTTCAGACTAAACTTTTACCATCTATCTGATCAACAAGCCTATCTCTATCCATTTTTTTTCTCCAATGTTCTATCACAACCCAAGTGCTCGGGTCAGAATTACCTAGCAAAGATATACTTGTCGGATTTGACATCTACGAATGTGAACATTTAAGGATTCTACTAGATGGGATCAGGTACAAATACATTTTCAAATCATTTGTACAAATCCCAAAGTTATATTCTCTTTAGCAATAAGATGAACATGACCAGATGATAGTTGAGCTGCTTAAAAAAAAAAAACACATGCTAATTCTCACTTAGAGTTCCTCCTCAAATCCAACAATCTTCTATGGAAGAACTTCGAATTCTTTATTAAGCTACCATTCAAGCTTAATGAAGACATTAATCCCACTAAAGCAAGCCATTTAGGTAAGAATCCAGACCACCAAAACTTAGGTAAAGAAGAATGCAAAAAATTGCTATAGCAAGGCTTAATTAAACCATCGCACTCCCAATGGGCATGCCAAGCTTTCTATGTCAACAAGAAAGCAGAACAAGTCAAGGGCAAACTAAGATTAGTTATCAATTACTAACCCTTCAATCATCTCCTTCTTGATGATAAATTTCCTCTACCTAATAGAAACTTGATCTTCTCAAATCTTGCTCATGCAAGAATTTTCTTAAAATTTTATCTTAAGGTAAGATTTTGGCAATTCGGTGTTTATCTCGAAGAGAGACTGAAGACAAGTTTTTGCATACCTAATCATCATTATCACTAGATCGTTTTACCATTTAGGCTTAAAGTAGCCCTATCATTATTTCAAAAGGCCATGATAAAAATTTTCTAACCCATCAAGGATTGGGTCCATATTTATATAGATAATATTCTCTTATTCAACCTAAATGAAGAAGACCATGTGCAAATCCTCAAACAGTTTATAGAATTAGTCTTAAAATATGGGGTTCTGCTTTCTGAAAAGAAAATGCAGATATTCAAGCTGAAGTGGATTTCCTTGAAATGCATATCAACCAAGGGAAATATTACCTAAATCCCCACATTTTATGAGAATTGCTCAAATTTCCAAACCAAAATCTCACAAAGAAACAAGTTCAACAATTTTTCGATATCGTCAACTATCTCAAAGATTTTATCCCAAAACTTTTAAAATATACTAATCCTTTGAGTAAAATGCTAAAGAAAAATCCTCCAAGTTGAGGATCATCTCAAACCAAAGCCATTTAAGAGCGTAAATCAAAGCTACAGAATTTAGAGCCTCTCAAAATCCCTTTTAATGGTAAAAGAATCCTCCAAACTGATGCTAATGACAAATATTGGGAAGTAGTTCTCTTAGAAGAAAAATAGAGGAAAAGACACATATATGCATACAAAAGTGGAAAATTCTCAAATTCCGAGTTGCATTATCACTCCATTTTTAAAGAAATCCTTACAGTCAAAAAGGCAATTTCAAAGTTTGAATTTCATCTCGTTGGACACTATTTTTTAGTAGAAATGGATATGTCTTCCTTCCCCCAGATGTTAAAATTCAAACAAAAGACAATCCCACATCCTTAACTGTTGAGATTGGCAGAATGGTTTTCAAAGTATTCTTTTGAAGTCAAACATATTAAAGGAGCTAAGAATCACCTTGCAGACTTTTTATCCAGACCTTCCCAAGATCCTGAAATTCTGATGTTTAGGCCAAAACTTTCCAAGTTCACATCTAAATTAGGTACTTACATCATAGGATCATTCTCATCCTCTTCATACTCCATTCCAATTGCACCAAACCTCCATCCTGATTACCTTCCTATTGTGCTCAAATTGGTTCAAGAAGAAACATTCTACCAAAAGACTAAATAGATGATTTTTAAATGCCAAATTGAAATTTTCAAAAAACATGGTGGTCTTATCCTCAAGTTTTATGGCCTTCACCCAAAATACCTTTTTATCCACCCCTTCTACTACAAATTCATGGAGTTTCTTGAAGAACTAAAATGGATGTTTTGGTACATAACTCATAAGTATCATTTTGGTATCCAACTTCACATTGCAAATTTTTTGGAATTCATAGTAAAAGCGTTAAATGGAGAAATAGAAACATAAAGAAAAGTTTTGTTGATATCCTTACATGGTTCTATCCACTTTTGCATTGGAAAGAACTAGTCATATCAGAGGCAAGAATAAAAAAGTAATCTTTTTCATTTTTTACAAGCGTCAATATTTTGTGACTCATGGACAAGCTACTTAACTTGGTGAATTCCTCTCAGCATGGGTATACAAGTCATTCCCTTGCAACATCAGAGAACTTGATTAGGAATGCAGAACATTCCAAAGACACATTTGCCAACACAATAAAATTATCATTGATCATATTTGGTCTTCACTAGAAATAAAAATGTCTTGGGATTATTTCCCAAAGACACCTGATCCGTATCATGATCAAAACAAACAAGTATTGACAGAATACAATGAAGGAATCCCTGACCCACATGAATAGTCCCAAGACTCGTAGGACTATGGTGAGATAAATGAAGATAAGCTTGCATGACTCTCCATAAAGCCACCATGTGAAACATGCAATGGATACTGTGACATGGACCTCGAAGCATGGTCTCTACACATGTATATATGTAGAGAAAGGAAAAAGCAAAGGACGGAAGAACTTAATCTCACCTCAAATGTTGGCACAATTATGACTAAAGATAGTATTATGTAGTACCAGTGCTTTTACTTTAGTATGCTTTTACTTCAAAGTGTCTTTACTTTTGAACAATAATGCAAAATGTGCATGTATTAAAATCTTATCATGCTATTGTGGAAAGTTTATCCGCAATACTTCTCTTCCTCTACAAAAGGGAAGCTTTTGGAACTAAAGGGGCAGAACACCATTGAGTAACAAAATCCAATGGTTTCTCCAACATGAGTCTCTAAACCTCTCTTTTCTTTCTTAGAGATTATTATGAAAATATAAGTATAGATCTCTCATGAGTTTAGATCCTTGAATATGCTTTGCACTTGTCATCTCTGATGGAACCTGTGCATCAGAAAGAGATTTGATCTCAAAGACGTATCAAAACTAGTATTGACAAGGTGAGTAGGGAAGATGAATTGTATTGGTTATTAAAAGTTATCCTTATAACAAAATGCCAATGCCACCCTTGAAGGCTAAGAGAGCCATATTAGTGGCCAGAGCATACCTGTTATTTGGATTTCTTTCTCTAATTTT